TCGAGGAAAGATCAATGCTTTTAACCAACATCAAAGTCTGCGACTGATATTCGAGTTCTGTTACTTTCACCACTGATGTTTGCTGGTCATAATATGAATATAAGTCATAGGCACTAAAATTTCCATGCGTTAAAGCACTCAGATGATTCAAACACTTGGGGATGGTTCCTGAAAAGTTGTTGTGAGCAAGGTCTAGGATGTGAAGGTAGCCAAGATTGCACAGCTGTTGGGGGATATGTCCAGTAAAGAAATTCGATCGCAGTCGTAAGATCGACACCAGGGGCACATTTGATCCTATCCATGAAGGTATGGTGCCAGTGAATCTATTATTTGCAAGATCAATGTGCCTCAAAGAAGTGCAATTTTGCAAGGAAAGTGGAATCTCACCATCCAAATTATTGTTGTTGACCTTCAACATAAAAAGTGACCCCGGGACACCAATTGAATTTGGAAGCTTGCCTGAGAGATTGTTGTATGCAACATCTATGACCCATATTTCCTGCAACAGACTCCATGCTTGAGGAAATTTTCCTGACAGCTCATTGCTTCTCAGAGAAAGGACTAGCAAGTTTTTGAGGTTGCAAATAGAGAGTGGAATAGTACCATTCAAATGGTTCTCAGAAAGATACAGTGCCAGCAATTGTGGAAATCGTTGGTCCAAATTCATTGGAATTGGCCCAAAAAATGAATTGGTTTGAAGCTGAAGACGGATCGCATTGTCACTGGACCAAAGTGGGAAGGGGCCATGAATTTGATTATGACTCAAATCCAAAATCAGAGCATTTGGAAATTTCAATTGCAATGGAAGGTTTCCAGTGATTTGGTTGTAAGACAAATCCAAATAATAGACTTTGGAAGATATTTTAGAGAACCAGTCCTCTGGTATGGCACCTGAGATTCCAGCACCATGAAGTTTGACAAAGGCTAGTTCAGTTTGAGACTGAAGCCATGCTCCAAAGGTAGGACCTATTTGACAGTTTCCAATGTTGATTGTGTGAAGCATGAAAGGAGGAACCCACTCATAAGACACATTGAAAATGAGAGAAATAGGTAGAGTAGGGTATGGGGTGACTTCGCCTAATGCAAAGTATTTCAATCTTGTGAGATTTGTGAAATGGGCTTCAGTTAAAAACCCTCCCCATGAATTTAAAGATAAATCTAGGTGAGTTAGCCGAGAGAGTTGCCCCAAGCTTTCAGGAATGGACCCGTTCATTTCATTATTGTAGAGACTAAAATACTGCAAATTGTGTAGCATCCCCAAGGAGGCAGGCAATTCTCTATGCAACATATTAGAAGACAAATCTAATGACTCTAAATTTGTGTTAAGACAACTTGTTAAACCACCCAAAAGGTCTTGAATCTCCCCATCAAATTTATTGCTAGCAAGATTCAAGATCTTTAGGTTACAAAAATTTCCAGCCAGTTCGGGAATTTGACCTTCAAGTGCATTGAAAGATAAATCAAGATGTTCCAATGATTTGAGCCTTCCAAGTTCAAGGGGAAAGGCACCACTGAATGAATTCCCCCTTAGATCAAGTTTTCTGAGGTTAGCTAGATTCAAAAGCCATTCAGGAAATGGAAACTTCACATCATTATATGACATGTCAAGGATCAAAAGTGATTTGAGGCTAATATTTCCTAGGGAGAGTGGAAGGCTTTCAATCTGGCATGCTGGTAAGTGTAGCTCTAGTAGGGAAGGGAGCATGTTAACAGCATGTAGCCAACTTTCCCCTGTTTTGTTGAGGCCCAGTCCTTCAAGGTTGAGGTATTTTAGGGAAGAGAGATTGGAAAGCCAATTCAAGTTGTTGGAAGGAAGTTCAAGTAAAGAGTAGTCAGACTCTTCACTGAGGTCAAGATAGTTTAAGTTTGAGAGGTTTCCAAACTGTGGTGGAATCTCTCCTCCAAATGAAGCATAGGAGAGATTGAGATACCTCAAACTTTTAAGCTGACCAAAGAATTTGGGAATGGGAATCCCATGAAAATCATTCTGGCTTAGGTCTAGGTAATTCAAATGTTTCAGGCTAAGCAAAGAAGGATTTATCTTACCCCCCAAAGAAGAGTGCTCCATCTCATCCCACTCTGCATCAAAAACAGACAGCGTATACGTATAAGTGTTCCGCAGATTCATCATTTCAACATGACCTGTTTTGTTGTTGCATGAAATTCCTTTCCATTGACAGCAATGTTGACCTGCCCAAGAAGAAAGCCTCCCAGAAGGATCGGTAAGATCTTGTTTAAAGGCGAGAAGCGCACGTCTCTCTTCGTCGATGCATGGTGTCACACTTGGAAGTGCATCACCAAAACAGAGTTTACTAGTGTGTGGAAATAAAGAGGCCAAAAAGACAAGAAGGAAATAGATAGAACTGAATGAGTTTGCAAAGCTATACATTTTCATACAAAATTTTCTTTGCTGTGGTGCAGATGGCAACTGAGCAGAAAGCTAAACTTATAGGAGGTTATGAAAGTGTAAAATGAATATCTAAATCATTGCCATCCAGATTCCAAGTTTCAACCCATTTTACAAGTTGGCTAGATTGGCAAGTAGGCATAAACAAAACTAACAAAACCCTGTGAGGAAGATTCACCAAGGAAGAAAGGGGAGTTCAAGTTGGTCTCTTTCCTCTGCGTTTTCCTCTTCGGTGTTCCGATATTGATTATTTTAACAAAATTGTTGACTATGTGCCCTTCGCGTGATCACCAAACACACTGCATTCTTCACATGTGACAAACTTGTGTTCTTGGTGGAAAATTTATGACAAGAAGAAGGCGAAGTTGGCATCTTCAGTGATTTATTTAATACAAATTTATAAATAAACCCAATTCTAGACATGTATTTATAAAAAAACCCAAGCACTATTTAAACATAGAAACACACCCAAAATCAACCCCAAAATCAACAATTGTATATTTTTTGGGTGTGTTTATAAATGGATTTTGAGTGTGTGTAATGATGGGTTTTGGGTGTGTTTATAAAGTGTTTTGGGTGTTGGGTTTTTTTATAATTTCAGCCCCCATTTTGGGTGTTTTAGTGAAACTCCCTTTATTTAATAGCCTGCAAGTACATATTGCAAATTACATGATAGTGATAGAACAAATGTAGTGGAATCACCATAGACCAATGTAGCCATATTATTCAAACACTTAGATTCTCAGAAAGGTACAACTTTTCCACTTTGAGGACAAAAATAATGATATCAAATCAAAGGGTACTGACCCGGAAAGTAAATCGAGAGATAAGGGTTGAAGCACTGGTGGACCACAATGGGGGTGGGGAAACATTGGTCTCCCACTGTCTCAGAGACTAATCTGTGGATGCATGATGGTTTTGACTTGGGGGTCATCGGGCACGGAAGGCATGCTTTAATACAGTGTGGTACTGCAATTGTTCCCAAGTATGGTGAAGCATAGTTTGATAGGAGATGAACCATTTAGATGTTTCATGTTGTTAATATATGTATTAATGTTTTTTTTTTCTAATTCTTAGACTTTCTTTTAAATTTGTTTATTTATTTATATTTTTTATATTTCAATTTTGGCCTTTGTTGCGACTTAGAAAATGGTTTATTTATTTATTATATGCAACTGTATTTTTCTTGACGTCCTAAGTTAAATTGAAATGGGAAAATAAAATGTCAATAGACAGGAAAATAAAAATGCTCAGGTTTATGGGGATTGAATAATAAAAATGCTGAGGTTATTAAATCAAAAAAGGGAGCTGATTTTCTCCCTCTTCTTTTATTCACTTATACTTCTTTTGTTAGAAATTGTATGTTCTTCACTTCTCTTTTGCTTTTTTTTTTTTTTTTTTTTTTTTTTTTTTTTTTTTGTTTTATAAAAGTATTTTTTTTTTAAAAACAAAAGGAGAGTATAAGTGGATAAAAGAGGAGTGACGGAAAAAAAAAGAAAAAAAAGCTCAGGTTTACGGGTAGAAACCAACCAGCAAATATCATAGAAAACAATAGGGCAATCCACAGTGGGAACAGATTCAACATTCTGGCTATATGAAAGGTTTCTTGATAAATCTCCTAAACACAATTGAAAGAAGAAAAAAAATATTTCAATTTGTCAATAATCTTTGTATAAAGTAATTTTAATATTTGTATAATATAAAGTTTCTCAACATATACAATTACAAATATGAGATAAAAAAAATTTAAAATACGCGTTGAGAAAAATACAATTTAAAAAAAAATACATGTTGTTGCAATAAATTAAACATATGTTTGTCAAGTGAAACAATTAATTAAATATATGTGAGATGGATACAAAAAAGGTCTCCTGCACGTGGAGGCTAGTGTGTGTGTATATATATATATATATCCGACTATATACATGTGGAAAATAGTTAGTAAGTTTAATACGACATTAATCATTTGTTTGGGTGCAAAATTTAATTTTAAAAATTATAAGTCAAAGAACGATTATTTTGGTGTTCTTTTTTTGGTCGAATATTGTGTTCTAACTGAAGGGGAAAAACATATCACACGGGATATGAACAAAAACTTTATATTATTCCTAGAAAAAATAAATCACATTGCAAATTGAAGGGGAAAAACAAACGGGATAAGAACTTCATAAATGTTAAAAATAACAACTTTTACTTTCCTGGTTTTAATCAAAGTTTCCTTTGCAAAGGAGCGGCTTTCATTGTAATTGCTAGTGTTGCTTATTCTTTTTTTTGAGAGAACCTCGACAGTACGAGGGAAACTTTATTAATAATAAACAAAAAAAACCTTACCTCTATTACAAGCATCAAAGAGAAGACAATCTTGAATCATATTTTGTAGTTCCTCAAACCACTCTACTTGAAAATCATAAGACGGTGCACTCCGCGCAACACGGTGCGCTACCTTATTGTCTTGACACCTAGCGAACAAAAAAACTAAACCCATTCTTTGTAACTAGGGTTTTTATATCATCAACAATACTACCAAAATAGAAATGGTCTTCATCTGTCCATGCAATAGCTGAGATGACTTGCATACAATCCCCTTTGAAAATCACTCTTGGCAAACCAAGCGACGCACACATAGTGTTGCCTTATCTTTGATGTCATCAAACCATCGAAAATAAGCGTACCTCCATGACTTCTTCACAATTAATGTGCCGAAAACACCCCAAAAGCCAACGATAAAACCGAGTGCCATACTTACATAGAACCAGAACTTCTCATTTCCATCTTCATTGTCATTGTCTTTTGGATCCTTGGGAGTAGAATTGCCATCTTCGGAGCACTTGGTTGAAAGAGGAAATCCACAAAGGAATGGGTTGCCCTCATAAATGGATGAATCAGGGAGTGCTTGGAGTTGGTTTCCCAAAGGAATTTCACCACTCAAGTTGTTATAGGACAAGTTCAAGTTAGACAAGAAGGTCAAGGATGAAAGACTTTGAGGAATGTGTCCTGAAAGGTGGTTGAGTGAGAGATCAAGAGTATCGAGCTGCGACAAGTTTCCGATCTTTGATGGGATGTTTCCACTGAACTGATTCATCGACAAGTTCAAGCTGTTCAATAGAACGAGGCTGCATATTTCTTGAGGGATTTCACCTTGAAACCTATTTGATGAAAGATCAATGCTTTTTACAAACGCTAGAGAAGTGTTCAATTGGAGTTCTCTTCCTCTCATCACTGTTGTTTGTTGGTCATAAAATAGATATAAATTATAAAAACTGCTATTAAGGATTCTGAGACCAGTGAGATTGTTCAAACACTTGGGGATTGTCCCGGAAAAGCTGTTGTGAGCAAGGTCTAGGATGTGAAGGTAGCCAAGATTGCACAACTGTTGTGGGATATGTCCACTGAAAAAATTGGATCTCAGCCTTAGGGTTGATACCAAGAAAGCAGTTGATCCTATCCATGGAGGTATTTCACCAGTGAATCTATTATTCCCAAGATCAATATTCCTCAAAGAAGTGCAGGTTTGCAAGGAAAAAGGAATTTCACCCTCGAAATTGTTGTTGTTCATCTTCAACATGAAAAGAGAACCTGAGTCACCCATTGAACTGGGAAGATTGCCTGAGAGATTGTTGTATGCAACATCTAAAATACTTATATTAGGCAACAGGCTCCATGCTTTTGGAAATTCTCCTGATAGATTGTTGTTTCTCAGAGAAAGAGTATACAAGTTTTTCATGTTGCAAATGGAAGGTGGAATGGTGCCATGCAAATGATTTTCAGCAAGATAAAAGAATTCCAATTTTGGAAACTTTTGGTCAAAATTCACTGGAATGGTGCCAGAAAATGAATTAGTTTCAAGCTTAAAATCAACCACATTGTCACCAGACCAAAGTGGAATTGGTCCATCAAATTGGTTATGACTCAAATCCAAAAGCAGTGCATTTGGGAGTTTCAATTGCAAGGGAAGCTTTCCATGGATTTGGTTGGAAGATAAATCCAAATACTCAACTTGGGAAGATAATTTCATGAACCAATCCTCGGGTATAGAATCTGAGATTCCAGTGGTATCAAGTTTGACAAAGACAAGTTCAGTTTGAGATTGAAGCCATGCTCCAAAGGCAGGACCTACTTTACAGTTCACAATGTTAATTTTGTGCAGCTTGAAAGGAGGAACCCACTCATGAGACACATTGAAGATGAGAGGAATTGGTAGAGTTGGTTTTGGGAAGACTTTGCCTAATGAAAAGTATTTCAATCTTGTGAGATTTGTGAAATGGGCTTCTGTTAAAAACCCTTCCCATGAGTTAAAAGATAGATCTAGGTGAACAAGCTCGGAGAGTTGCCCCAAACTTTTAGGAATGGACCCACTCATATCATTATTGTAGAGGTTAAGATACTTCAAGTTGTGTAGCATCCCTACTGAGGCAGGCAATTGGCTTTTCAGCTCATTAGAAGACAAATCTAATGACTCTAATTCACCATTGGGACAACTTGAGAAACCACCCAAAAGCTCTGGAATCCCCCCTTCAAATTGGTTATTTGCAAGATTCAATGTCTTTAGATTGCAAAAGTTCCCAAAAATTTTGGGAATTCGACCTGAAAGATCATTAAAAGACAAATCAAGAGCTTCTAGTGATTTGAGGCTTTGAAATTCACTAGGAACTGGACCACCCAAAAAATTACCGCTTAGATCAAGTTTTCTGAGGCTAGTCAGATGAAAAAACCATTCAGGAAGTGGAAACTTCAAATAATTATATGACATGTCAAGGATCAAAAGTGATGTGAAGTTAACATTTCCCAGTGAGATTGGAAGGCTTTTAATTTGACATGCGGGTAGGTGCAACTCTAGTAGGGAAGGAAACTTGTTAAAAGCAATACCAAACTTACCCCAGTGTTGCTGAGGTCCACTCCTTCAAGACTGAGGTATTTGAGGGAAGAGAGATTGGAAAGCCATTTCAAGTTGTTGGAAGGTAATTCAAGTAAAGAGTAGAAAGACTCTTCACTTAGGTCAAGATAGTTCAAGTTTGATAGGTTACCAAGATGAGCTGGAATCTCTCCTCCAAATGAAGCATGTGAGATATTGAGATACCTCAAACTTTTGAGCTGACCAAAGAATGTGGGAATGGGAATCCCTTTAAAATCATTCCTGCTTAGATCCAGGTAGCTCAAATGTTTCAAGTTAAGCAAAGAAGGATTTATCTTACCACCCAAAGAAGAGTTCTCCATCTCATCCCACTCTCCATCGAAAACAGAAAGTGTGTATGTGTACGTATTTTGGAGATCAATCTTTTCAACATGACCTGTGATTTTTTTGCATGAAATGCCTTTCCATTGACAGCAAGCTTGACCAACCCAAGAAGAAAGCCTCCCAGAAGGATCAGTGAGATCTTGTTTGAAGGCGAGGAGAGCACGTCTCTCCTCGTCAATGCATGGTTTCGAATTTGGAAGTGCATCACCAAAATGGAGTTTACTAGTGTGTGGAGATGAGGAGGCCAAAAAGAAGATGAGGAAATAATGAGCAATGCTGAGGTGATATGTAGGACTGAAGAAGTAATTTGTAAAGCTAGCCATTCTGGTGCAAAGTTTTCTTTGCTTTTGTGGAGTTGGCTTCTGAGCAGAATAATTGAATTTATAGGAGGCAAAGGAGAGTGCAAAGAATTATTGAAATCATGCCGTCCAGATAAGATTTCATATCTTCAACCCATTTTACAAGTTATTGGAAATTCTAGGCATGTGTACTAGATTGAGTAATGATGACAGGACCCGTCCCGAATTTCCCCGGAACCCGAGACGAACCCTGCGGAGACCCCGGCATCACACCCACGCCGGGTTTACTCCTTAAATCTACGTCCTCGTTCACCATAGAGGATTAAGGGCACGAGACTTTCTGCCAAAATTTCGGCAGAGTCTCCCCTGCAAATTGAACATTCCCCAAAATTTCCACCTGCATAAAACACATTTTATAACCCAACCAGCAGCACGCACAATATAATTTCATGCAATTTACATAAATGGCCTCCGGACTTCAAATGGTTCTAGCAGAACTGCCCACACTGTCTTTAAAATAACTTAATGCATCACACATGCATATAACCAATTCAAAATCCATCCATACACACCTTCACTCCCTCAGTCCAACGGACAAGCCTCAATTCAACCAAGTTTTGGGACCAACCACAAGGTCCGCATCATACTCGATACAACCACCTAAGTGGTGTCTAGGTCGTGGCTGCACCTAGGCGCTATCCCAGGCTGCCTACGTACCCTACTAAGGGATCAAGCCACACGTAGCTCTTTCCTATCAATCCTGGCTCCTGATATCAATTAAACCATCACATCCATATAAATTCATACATTCTCGGGTTTATCCATCACAACACACCAAACACAACCACATAGCTCCCCTCATACGTCGGGACGCACCCGGCCACGTACGGGGTCTGTCAACACGCCGGCTAATCCAAAGACGCGTGCGACCTCTCGCTGGGCCTGGCTACATTCTCACCAGCCATCATACTGTTCTCTTTGGCCTGGCTACATTCTCACCAGCCATCATACTATCATATCTCCCACTCATACGACGGGACGCACCCGGCCTCGTACGGGGTCTGTCAACACGCCGGCTAACCCAAAGACGCGTGCGACCTCACACTGGGCCTGGCTACATTCTCACCAGCCCTTATACCATCATATCACCCACTCATACGTCGGGACGTACCCGGCCACGTACGGGGCCTGTCAACACGCCGGCTAACCCAAAGACGCGTGCGACCTCACACTATCACTTGGGCCTGAGCATAATCACAATATGAGGGGTACGTGGGGTAGTGCGTATAGCACTGTAAACTAATATTCAATTCCTTATATATCATAACTCCACACAATTAATTATATACATTAACATCAACCAATAAAACATTCCATAAACACCCACCATTTAAATTCACCAATTAATCCTAAACCCCATAATCCCCATAACCACAACGCTCAGGACCTGTCACTAAGGTCATTCTAACCCTCAAGAAGGTAGAACTATCTCGGGAGTCTCACGGGTCAAACTAGGGTCAAACGGGCCTGCGGGGCCCACAACCTCCAATTCCGATCCGAAAGTTCCTATAGGTTCTACAAGCTCTAGGATGCACGTCCTGCAAGTTTGGTCCAGATCGGACGGTCGGATCGCTCACGATCGCACGATCGGACGGTTACTAAAACCCTAACCCCAGGGTTGGCATTTCTGGAGTATCCGGGACTCCGTTTTACGATCCGTCGAATCCTACACGATCCTGGTAATACCTAGATCAACATATTATAATATCAGGACCATCCAACGGTCCAAACCCAGCGAACCCGGAAAACACGCGATATGCGATATCCGTTCGGGACTCTAACAATATCCAAATTGAGATCCGAGCACACCTACGCGCTCGTGACAACCTGAGGATCACATTGGGACAAAAATGCCCCTCAGCTACAGTGCCCACGCGCCGCCACACGCGCCGGCAGCGCGTGGGTGTCCAAAGCGATACCCATCGCCGGAAAAACCACGAATCACGGCTCAAGACTCCTACCCTAGGTAAAACACCTAATTTGGAGTCACTTTTGTTCTTGGACGTACCCCAAAAACTGACCGGAAGTGGCCGGAATCTCATCCCGAAATCCGGCCGAAACCCAATTCGAAAATCGAGTTGTCTACGCTACAAATCGATCAATTCCTACCCAACAGGCAGCTAGAGCTCGGAAAATAGGTGAGAAACCATACCTCACTTGCCGGAATCGGTGGCCGGACGACGGAGAACGAAGCCGGCGAATTTTCTGTCAAAACCGGAGCTTTTCTCCTCGTTTTCCGGCGAAATCACGGCGGCTGGCGGCAGGACCTGGCCGGGGTAAGAAGAGGACGGCGGCCCGGTCATTTTGGTACCGGCCCCGTCGACTTTGGTGGCCGGACGAGCGAACGGCCGGCCAAAACGTGGTCGGCCACGGTGGCTGTCGCGAACCAGAGGAGAGAGAGAGCGACGCGCGGGAGAGAGAGAGTGTGAGAGAGACGGGGGCAATTCCGTCTTTTAACCAAAAATCCCACTTCAAAATATTTACGATTATGCCACTGAGCTTCATTTGATCATATCTCTCTCGTTACAACTCCGATTCGAGCCCACTACGTGTCTACGAACTCATCTCGCCGTGCTCTACGCAACGGTACAACCGGAATTCCCAAATTCCTTCCGGGTAAGAAAATGACTAAAATACCCCTATCCCACGGGTAATTTCTCAATTCACTCAAATAATTAAAATAGGGGATAAATTTGGGGTCGGGGTGTTACAGACTACCCCCCTTATAAAAATTTCGTCCCCGAAATTTCATACCTGCCACTCCAAAGGGTGTGGGTACTGGGCCCGCATCTACTGCTCGGGTTCCCATGCTTCATCCTCCACAACCAAGTTGGCAGCCAAGTCATTCCATTTGTGATTTGATTCTCTTCTAGCTCTCCCATGAAGAGAAGTCCAAACTCTTTGACTTGTTGATATCTTCCTTCTTTCTTTAGAATCGATAAGCAACATTGCCAACACGATTCTTTGAGAGGGATGTCAGAAAGGATCATTTTTACCGAATTGTAATCATCATCTTCCTCTCTCTACCATGACCCATTTCTGATTCCGATGAAAGATTTCTGCTCAAACGTGCTCACTGCACACAATCGAGAATTAGCAACATGAGGTTCCACTCCTGTCAATCGCGGCATTCAAGCCCACGCGAGTGAAGTGATACTTCATCCAACACTATTACTTCTCAACTTAATTTGTCACGACCCTCCTTGGTCGGACTCACAACTCCTCCATTCCCATGTAACTTGTCCATCAACTTCCTCTGACAATTTCGTCTCATCTCAGCGGATTCAATACTTTTAGCTCTTCCATTTCCTTCCATAGGATATTGAGATACGACAATTTGGATAGACACGTTTCTAGGAACGTGGCACCCTTAAGTGTACTCATCAATACCCTAAATCCATCCATGTCAAAGAATCCTCCGCGTCAAAATGATGACGTCCCGTGACGGAACCCATCATGATCCCACAACTTAAGGATGCACACAAGGTGCGAGGTCCACAAGAAATTGAACCTAAGCTCTGATACCAAGCTGACAGGACCCGTCCCGAATTTCCCCGGAACCCGAGACGAACCCTGCGGAGACCCCGGCATCACACCCACGCCGGGTTTACTCCTTAAATCTACGTCCTCGTTCACCATAGAGGATTAAGGGCACGAGACTTTCTGCCAAAATTTCGGCAGAGTCTCCCCTGCAAATTGAACATTCCCCAAAATTTCCACCTGCATAAAACACATTTTATAACCCAACCAGCAGCACGCACAATATAATTTCATGCAATTTACATAAATGGCCTCCGACTTCAAATGGTTCTAGCAGAACTGCCCACACTGTCTTTAAAATAACTTAATGCATCACACATGCATATAACCAATTCAAAATCCATCCATACACACCTTCACTCACTCAGTCCAACGGACAAGCCTCAATTCAACCAAGTTTCGGGACCAACCACAAGGTCCGCATCATACTCGATAAAACCACCTAAGTGGTGTCTAGGTCGTGGCTGCACCTAGGCGCTATCCCAGGCTGCCTACGTACCCTACTAAGGGATCAAGCCACACGTAGCTCTTTCCTATCAATCCTGGCTCCTGATATCAATTAAACCATCACATCCATATAAATTCATACATTCTCGGGTTTATCCATCACAACACACCAAACACAATCACATAGCTCCCCTCATACGTCGGGACGCACCCGGCCACGTACGGGGTCTGTCAACACGCCGGCTAATCCAAAGACGCGTGCGACCTCTCACTGGGCCTGGCTACATTCTCACCAGCCATCATACTGTTCTCTTTGGCCTGGCTACATTCTCACCAGCCATCATACTATCATATCTCCCACTCATACGACGGGACGCACCCGGCCACGTACGGGGTCTGTCAACACGCCGGCTAACCCAAAGACGCGTGCGACCTCACACTGGGCCTGGCTACATTCTCACCAGCCCTTATACCATCATATCACCCACTCATACGTCGGGACGTACCCGGCCACGTACGGGGCCTGTCAACACGCCGGCTGACCCAAAGACGCGTGCGACCTCACACTATCACTTGGGCCTGAGCATAATCACAATATGAGGGGTACGTGGGGTAGTGCGTATAGCACTGTAAACTAATATTCAATTATAAAATCCATACATAATTTATACATTAAATTCTAATAATATAAACACCTTAATAAACAACTAGCATCCAATAATTCCCCATAATCCCCATAACATCAGGACCTGTCTCTATGGTCATTCTAACCCTCATGAGAAGGTAGAACTATCCCAAAGGTCTCACAGTCAACCCAGGGTCAAACTACCCACCGTTGGTCAAACGAGCCGCAGGGCCCACGACCTCCAATTTCCGATCCGAAAGTTCCTATAGGTTCTACAAGCTCTAGGATGCACGTCCTGCAAGTTTGGTCCAGATCGGACGGTCGGATCGCTCACGATCGCAGGATCGGATGGTTACTAAAACCCTAACCCCAGGGTTGGCATTTCTGGAGTATCCGGGACTCCGTTTTACGATCCGTCGAATCCTACACGATCCTGGTAATACCTAGATCAACATATTATAATATCAGGACCATCCAACGGTCCAAACCCAGCGAACCCGGAAAACACGCGATATGCGATATCCGTTCGGGACTCTAACAATATCCAAATTGAGATCCGAGCACACCTACGCGCTCGTGACAACCTGAGGATCACATTGGGACAAAAATGCCCCTCAGCTACAGTGCCCACGCGCCGCCACACGCGCCGGCAGCGCGTGGGTGTCCAAAGCGATACCCATCGCCGGAAAAACCACGAATCACGGCTCAAGACTCCTACCCTAGGTAAAACACCTAATTTGGAGTCACTTTTGTTCCTGGACGTACCCCAAAAACTGACCGGAAGTGGCCGGAATCTCATCCCGAAATCCGGCCAAAACCCAATTCGTAAATCGAGTTGTCTACGCTACAAATCGATCAATTCCTACCCAACAGGCAGCTAGAGCTCGGAAAATAGGTGAGAAACCATACCTCACTTGCCGGAATCGGTGGCCGGACGACGGAGAACGAAGCCGGCGAATTTTCTGTCAAAACCGGAGCTTTTCTCCTCGTTTTCCGGCGAAATCACGGCGGCTGGCGGCAGGACCTGGCCGGGGTAGGAAGAGGACGGCGGCCCGGTCATTTTGGTACCGGCCCCGTCGACTTTGGTGGCCGGACGAGCGAACGGCCGGCCAAAACGTGGTCGGCCACGATGGCTGTCGCGAACCAGAGGAGAGAGAGAGCGACGCGCGGGAGAGAGAGAGTGTGAGAGAGACGGGGGCAATTCCGTCTTTTAACCAAAAATCCCACTTCAAAATATTTACGATTATGCCACTGAGCTTCATTTGATCATATCTCTCTCGTTACAACTCCGATTCGAGCCCACTACATGTCTACGAACTCATCTCGCCGTGCTCTACGCAACGGTACATCCGGAATTCCCAAATTCCTTCCGGGCAAGAAAATGACTAAAATACCCCTATCCCACGGGTAATTTCTTAATTTCGCTCAATTAATTAAAATAGGGGATAAATTTGGAGTCGGGGTGTTACAATGACCATTGACCAGGACTCAAGTCAATCATAGCTAATTGTAAATGGGAAGACTGTAAGTAGTGGCCGACACTACTCTCTTCAAATTAAACTTTTCAACAATTTAATCATAATAAACTACTAAACATCACAAAATTTCCTTTGGAAACGACCCACCTTCAACGCAATTGCTTATGTCTAGTCCTTGCTGAATATTTTGAAGTAGTGTCACCTCACCTCACCACTATCATTCTCATCAATGCTTATGTCTAGTCCTTGCTGAATGACTTATTTTTCTAATGTATTTGGATTGATTGTAGAGCCTAAAGGAAGCTAAGACTAATTCAAACTAATAAAGGTGTGGTAGCCAGATTGTAGCCAGATTGTAATCAGTAGATGGGAGTTAAATGCATTCTCTCTCTCTCTCTCTCTCTCTGTATATACCTTGAAATTACAAAGAACGTGAGAGATCTAGCTTGGCCGATAATGCAGTTTCTTGACTAAACTGTAATTCCATTTCGGAGAAAGTGGTTATGTGGGCATATGCTAGCCATGCTTCTATTCTATGTATTTAATTGGGTAAACTACAGTAAACTCCCCAACTTATAGGGTTATTTATGAATTCATATCCGATTTTGGGGACAGTTATGAGTACATACACAACGTCGCGAAAACTTACAGATCGCCCCCTCCGTTAGCGAATCTATCAGGAAATCCGTTATCTACCTACGTGTCAAAAGTGGGACCCAATTTTTGATGATGGGAACTTCCATGTGGGCAAAATATATAATAAACAATTCTCAATTATTTAAAAATAATTTTAATAATTTAAATTATTAAACCTCAAAAAGAAAAAAGAAAAAAAAATTTCAATACCAGAGCCCTCTCCTCCTAGCCCCATCGAATACTAGAACCCTAGCCACCTCCCCTCTCTCTCTCAATCTGGAGATCGCCGTGATGAGGATGGTTAAGCACCCCATCATCGTCGAGCTCCACGAGGTCATGGCCAGCAAATCCAAGATCTATTTCGCCATGGATCTGGTTCGTGACGGCGAGCTCTTCGCCAAAATCTCTAAAAACCGGCTCAAAGAAGACGTGGCCAGAGTCTATTTCCAACAGCTGATCTCAGCCATCGATTTCTGTCACAGTCGCGGCGTCTACCACCGGGATCTGAAGCCGGAGCAAGCTTTGGTTTATCTCAGATTTTTGGTTTATCCATTCTGAAGCTTGGGATTATGAATATGAGAAATCGATCGGGGGTTTTTCCATTCTAAAGCTTTGATTTATCTCTGTTTTTTTTTGTTTTTTCGTGAATTTCATCTCATATCTGGTTATTTCTATGTCGGTGTGGGAAGTGGTGGCTGGGTGAGGAAGAAACTCTGAGAGATTTCTGTTAAATGGGATATGGGATTTCTAGCTCCTGATTTTGGACCACTCTACTCTAGCTACAAACAACTCTTCTTCTTCAATTTTTTTTTTTTCTGAAGCAGAGAAGAAGTGTGTTGGGGATGCCAAAGCCATTTTCAACTTTTCAGATCTTTGTCTTCTCCAAATGGACTGTTTGATATTACGGGAAAGCAATTTTGGGTTATTTTCTGGGTTTTTTTGATGATATAGATGCGTGCAGCTTTTTTTTCTGGGTTTTTTATTTTTGTTTTTTGGGTATTCATGGTAAAGGGAGGGAGGAGAAGCGACGGGAGAGTGGTGGCTCAGAGGTGGGGCTAAGTCGGAAGGGAGAGAGGGTTGGCTGGGTTGGAGAAGAGAGATGAGATTTTTCTTTTCTTTTTTTATTCATTTTTTAATGATTTTAATATGATTTAAAAATTATTTTTAACATATACATAATTTTTTATTAGTTTTTTGTCCACGTGGAAGTCTACGTCATTAAAAAAAAGGGTCCCACTTTTGACACGTAGGCACATAACGGATTTTCTAACGGATTCGCTAACGGAGAGGGCGATCTGTAAGTTTTCGCGACGTTGTGTACGTACCTATAAATGTCCCCAAAATGGGATATGAACTCATAAATGACCTATAGGTTGGGAGTTTACTGTAATTTACCCAATTTAATTATATGGTCACTGTTTTAAGTGTTATGAATAATTATTCCTTTTGGTTCATTGGTTATAATTTTGTTGGATTTCAATTCATTGACTTTTTATGTGCCCTTAACTAGGGTATTTTTTTAATTATCAATAAAATTTACTTATACCGTAGAATTTTCTATATTCTTAGTAGGATTGTACTAGAGTTGTAAAAAATAATTATTTTGATTTTCTCATGTACGCGGGATTTTGACTTAAAATTGAGCGGCAGATTCAGGTTTTATGTTGTTTTTACCGCTTACTTTGTTTGGCAAGAGAAAAGGTTAATAAGTGGAGGAGTAAAGGTTAAAAGGGGAAAATTAATGGCAACAGAAAGAAATGAAGATCAGCACTGAAAATTTCAATGATGTCTGACGGGAGACGGTAAATTTAGGTTGACAGCGGTGCACAAAATCTGAAGCAAACAGACCAATAATTTAATGGCTTTAATTAGGAAAGTCGTCCAAGGTTGGCAGCGGTCTCCTAAACCCATTTCGCAAGTTTGCAAGTCCATTCATGTACATGTAGATGATGCATTTTCTTGACTAGACTCCATTGTAAGTCCATTTCAAAGAAAGTGGTTAGTTTGGCAAATGCTAGCGATGCTTCTATTTACTTTTATATATGGTGAGTGCAAAAGAATTTAACTCATGATATTATTGAATTTTATTGTATAGATACAAAATTTACACATCCTTTTTATTTTCCTAAGTAAATGGTTTGAGATAGGATGATTGATTGTTGGTCTCCAATGATGTCTGGTTGGCTTATTACTTTTGCATCAACCCTGATATGGCACAATGAAACCAGCCAAGCAACAAACAAAATCCACGTCCAAGTTCCACAAGTTACAATAGAAGAATCAGAGATCGCATTATCACTCTTTTTTAGGCTGAGCATATCGTGATTTTTCCGCAGATAACTTTCTTCGACACAAATGGGTTTTTAGTTTTATTTTCTTTTTCTAATGGTAACAGAAAAAAGAAATGAAAAAAAAGATTAGTTTGTTAAAAAAAGATTGTGCCAAGGTGGAAGAGAATCAAAAGATTAGATAATTATAAGAGAACCGAAAAATAGGAGAACTAGTGAAACAGTTATTTTGCACATAATAAATTTCATAGTTACTCGTGTAGTGAATTCAAGAACTTATCAAACCATAAATTGTTGACCAAAGAAACCAAAACTTTGAAAGAGTAAACAAAAAGATAGAGACTAAGGGCCCGTTCAGTAACATTTCCGAAGAATGTTTTCTGAGAATGAAAACAAGAAAATGAATTTGCATTTTCAAGATTCGAAAATTCATCTGGTAGATTAATTGGAAAAACATTTTCAGAAAATAAAAACAGTGGAAATGTGTCTGGTAGAACAATTTGATAATAACAAAAACAAAGAATCTATAACTTTAATTAAAATGCATTTTGTTTTTTTAATACAACATTTTGTAATCAACATGTGAGTTCCAAAAAAATAAATTAGTATGTATATTATTTTTCAAAAGTATTTTTTAATCATCTAAAAGAATATCATTTAAAAAATAGAACAAAATTCTAAAGTATAAAACTAGAATTATCTTTAAAAAAATTAAAATGAAACCTCAACCTAACCTTCTCTTTCACTCTCTACAAACCCACCCCAATTCTCTCTCTCTCTCTCTCTCTCTCTCTCTCTCTCTCTCTCTCTCTCTCTCTCTCTCTCTCTCTCTCTCTCTCTCTCTCTCTCTCCATAATTGAAGATTCAGACCAACCCCCCTCTTTTTCACTTTCTTTTCATGTCGCCGCACCCTCTCTCTGTCTCTCTCTCATTGCAACCTCACCTTCCAGTAGCTTCCCAGATTCTTTTCCTTTTCTTGGTAAATTGATGGCAATTAGTTGTTCAACGATGGTGGTTCAATTCAATTGCGTAGAGATTCGGTTGGGTTCGATTGAGTGGCAGTAATGTCAATCTGGTTCGATGGGGCAGTGGTGATTTTCATTGGGTGATGGTGGTGGTTCAAGCTCTGCGGGCAACTTTTGACGGTGGTTTTGGTCTGATGGGGAGAGAAGATTGAGTGAGAGAAGCAGCGTGTTTTCAACGTTTGTTTCCTATGAGAATGAAAATAGTTTTTTTTTCTGTTTTCTACAAGTAGACATGAAGTTGTTCTTATTTTCTTAAAATATTCTCCGTGTTTTCTATTTTTGCCCACGGAACAGGTTTTTTGTTTGTTTTTGTTCTCTCAAAATGAAAATGGGCTCTCAAAATTTAAATGAACATGGCCTAAGTAAAATGGTAATTAGACATGCCCAACCAGTCCTGATGACAAAAAGACAAAATAAAGAGGGTGTAGTGTCCCACCATGTGAAATCAGAGCCCAAAGCACTTTGATTTGCCAAAGTGTCTGTTGCATGATTATCGTTACGAAAATATGAGAAATCTTAAACGACATGTGCTGGAGACGATGCAAGCAATTATGCCAATCAACCTGTAGGTGCCATATATCATATGTGACATCTTATCATCATATTTATATAGTAGTTTTAATTTCTTGTATAATATAAAAGGTAATAAGGTGCCACAACAAACACCCCCAAAAACCTATGATAAATCCAAAACTTAATTATTATTAATTCTTTGCCTAAGAGATTGTTGTATGCAACATCTATGGTCCAGATTTCATGCAACGGACTCCATGAGGAAATTCTCCTGATAACTCTCAGTGCTTCTTAGAAAAAGGACTATATATAGAGTGGAATAATACCATTCAAATGATTTTCAGCAAGATACAATGCCACAAATTGTGGAAATTGTTGGTCCAAATTCAATGGACCAATGCTAACTTCAATCACTAGTAAAAAATCACCGTTGTGCAACCACATTTTGCGAGACGAAAAATTATTTGTCACTCAAAGTCACTTTGCGCGACGAAACACAAAACTTCGTCCCTAAAAACATTGCGCGACAAACTTTTGTGCGACGACAATACATCGTCGCGCAAAGTCCTTATAAAAATAAATAAATAACATTTTTTAAAAAAAAATCTTTTTGTTAGAAAATATATTTTTTAAATTGACGATCGAATTAGTTCATTGTATTCATATAGGGTCAAAGAGCGTAGCTGTAAAAAATCATCAAAATCGGAGTTAAATTAACCGTTAAATCGTGATTTTTCATTTATAACCGTCGAAAAGTTTTGACCCATTACTTGATCTCTGAATGTTTATTTTTTCCGATTTTTGGCATATATGATCTCGAAGTATAAACAAACAAGTTTGACGATTGGATCGTTGTAACTAGTTTCGTAGAATGCATTTGCCATCAAAACAATATATTCACTAACAATTAAGAGTTTATTTATACTTTTGTTAAATATAACATAAGATTTTGTGGTATCCACTAGTAAGTCTCTAAATATTTATTTTTTCTTCCGATTTTTGGGGTATACGATCTTGAAGTATATACAAACAAATCTGACGATTAGATCGTTGAATGGTGTGTGTATATATATATATTTATTTACTCATTAAGTAGCTTTAAATTTATTTATTTTGTACGTATAACAATTAAGAAATTGAACAGTATATACATTTATTAAGTAGCTTTAACCATATTTATATTTTAAATCATAAAATAAAATAATTTTATTTTTTATTATTCATAGCAATTATTTTTATAAATATCGTGCTACGAACCAATTTTTCGTCTCTCAAAAGTTTGGGCGGATACCAAAATGGGATGCGGGATTTATAAAAAAAAAATTTTTTTTAGACTTTGCGCGACCAATATATATCTTTCGTCGCATAAAAATTTGGGCGGGTATCAAAAATGGGGCGCGGGAATTTTTTTATATATTTTTTTTAGACTTTGCGCGACCAATATGTATTTTTCGTCGTGCAAAAATTTCAAAATTTGGGCGGGTACCAAAAATGGGACGCGGGGTTATAACTTTGCGCGACCAATATGTTTCGTCGCGCAAAAGTTTGCGCGACCAATATTCCAATATTTTTCATCACGCAAAAATTTCAAAATTTGGGTGGGTACCAAAAATGGGATGCGGATTTTGTTTATTTTTTTTTTTTTTTTTTTTTTTTTGACTTTCCTAATATTCCAGTATTCGTCACGCAAAACTTCGCGCGACAAATATGTTTCGTCGCGCAAAACATTGAGCGACCAATAATCCAATATTTTTTGTCGCGCAAAACTTTGCGCGACCAACGATATTGTTTGTCGTGCAAAGTGATACGGTTTTTAAAATGAAAATAACTCCTCCACCATTTTCTCAATGTCTTTCTCTTACCTCTCCTCTCTCTTTCCCTCTCCCCAAATCCCACCATTTCTCTCACACTCACTCCTCTCACTTAATCTCTCATCATCTCTCTCTTCACTATCTCTCACTCTCACTCACTCTCTCATCTCTCTTTTCACTATCTCTCACTCTCACTCACTCTCTTATCTCTCTATCACTATCTTCTCTAATTCTCTCACACTCACTTCTCTCTCTCATTCTCACTCACTCTCAATCTTTCCAAAAGGTATATTCTCTCCAAATTTTAATTTTTTTTTTTCATTAATATGTGTTTTTGGAGTTAGTTTTGAGTTTGTGTGGGAAGCGATTGGAGTTTGGGTTGGATTTGTGGTATAACAATTTTAGGGGAGATTATCCCTTCTTTTCTCTTTTTTTTTGTTATTTGACCTTTTTTTTTGTAGGGAATCATCAAGACTTTGAAGGCAAAAGTTGAGGATTAGGAAGCTATCAAAACATATCCTCCGCCACTACCACCACAATACGCTTGTATTAGGATTTTATTATTGTATTTTGTTAATTTATGTGTACATTTTGAATATTATATATATATATATTTATTGGATAATTTGATCACTATTTTTCATATGTAATTTTATTTTGAATATGTCAATTTAAATTAAAGTAATTTAAAAAAATCATACAATTAAATTAAATTTAAAAAGTAAAAATTTGAAAAAAATTAATATAATTAAATTAATATCAATTTAAATTAAAGTAAAGAAAAAAATCATACAATTAAATTTTAAAAGTAAAAATTTGAAATAATTAATATAATTAAATTAATATTAAAAAATAATACAACAAAAAGTCAAAAACCAAAATATTTCGTCGCGCAAATATTTGCACGACATTAGTATTCGTCGCGCAAAACTCTAAAAATTTGGGCGGGTACCAAAAATGGGACGCGGTAATTTTTTTATTTTATTTTATTTTTAAATTTTTTCGTCGCGCAAAACTTTGCGTGACCAATGTTTTTTCGTCACACAAAGTCGCTTTGCACGACCAATATCGTCGCTCAAAGTCACTTTACGCAACCAATGAAAAAACTTCGTCACGCAAAGTCTTTCTTCACGATCTTTGTGCGACGAAGTTTCTGTCGCGCTGGAATTTGTGCGACTACAATGTATTTTGCGCGACGAAATTCTCTTCGTCGTGCAAAGTGTAAAATGTAGTAGTGAATTCAAGGCCAATGCTAACTTATCTTTGATACCATCAAAGAATTGAAAATAAGCATGCCCCCATGACTTGTAACACCAGTAATGTGCCATAAACACTTCAAAAGCCTATGATAAAGTCTAGCTAGTACCGTGATAACATACAACCACAACTTATTATGATGAATGAGTTTATTGAACTGGAATCAACATAGATTAGAAAAATGATATGACTCAAACACTTGAGAATAGTAACAGAAAAGTTGGTTGGGAATATTTCACCATTGAGAAAGGAATTTTACCACCAAAATCGTTTTTGTTCATCTTCGAAATCATATTTGTGATGACACAATCCATTAAAAAATTAAATTAAAAAAAAAAACTCAATGGTACATGTGATTTTTATTTTTATTTTTCATACAATACGGTCAACTGATGAGACGAGTTTTCCACTTTAGAATGCATCTCCATACAAAGATTAAGGCCCCGTTTGGGATTGCTTTTTTTCATCAAAAATCTGCTTCACTTTAAAGTTAAGCAGTTTAAGGTATTTGGTAAAATAAAATATCCCGATTATTTTAAAAGCAGTGGCCTTTTGACAGCAGCTTTTAAAAGCATGCTCTGGGTTACGTTTCAAAGTTGCTTTCAAAAGAAGCATAGATGAACTTTTAATGAATTTTTTTAATTCCCAAAATACCATCATTCATTTTTAAAAATGACACCACCACCACATCCTTCTCCTCATCATCCTCCGCCACCACCACCACCACCTCCTCCACCACCTCCACCTCCACCTCCACCTTCACCACCACCACCACCACCACCACCTCCGCCTCCAAAATCTCCACATCCACTACCACCTCCACAACCAACACCACAACCACCACCATGCTGCCACTACCACCACCACCATCACCTCCACAATCACCAGCCCCACCACCACCACTACCACAACCACCAACTCCACCTTAATCACCACCACTACCTCCACTCCATCACTACCACTACCACCAAATGATTAGTACATAACACTTTTATCATCATGTCTAATTTAGTCATTATTCACAGTTACAACAATTTTTGACACTGCTTTTTGTACTAACAGCACTTTAAAAATATTTTTTACCAAACATGGAGCTGCTTTACTTTACAGCAAATTATTTTCAAAACACAGCAGAAGCAACTTTTTTTAAAAGTGACAGCAATCCCAAACTGAGCCTAAAACTAGAGAAAAGTAGGCAAAACACCTATACTTTTCAGGTTACGGTTTTACTAAAAGCCAAATACTTCAAAAAATAACGAAGATGAAGAACAAAGTTCCAATATATTTAGTGAATAGTCATCTGTACTGCCCATCTCTCTTGTAAAAAATAAGCAAGAGTACACCACAATTTATTTTAGCATCCCAAAAAAACAAAAAAAAAAAACAAAAAACAAACAAAAAGAAGAAGAAGAAGAAGAAGAAGGAAACACAACATGTACTATATTACACATCACAAAACTTCCTTTGCAAATGAGCCACTTTTCAATGCTATTGCTAGTGTTACCTTATCTTTGATGTCATCAACGAATCGAAAATATGCATACCTCCCTGATTTCTTCACGATTAATGTGCCGCAAACACCCCAAAAACCTACTACAAAGCCATGCACCATGCTCAAAAATAGAACCACAACTTATCATTTTCATCTTCATTAATGTGTTTTGCATTTGTAGTGGTAGAAGTGTCATCTCCGGGGCACTTGTTTGGAAGAGGAACCCCACACAGAGATGGTTTGCCCATATAAATCGATGAATAGTGAACGTTTGTAGTTGACTGCCCAAAGGAATTCTTCCCACCAAGTTGTTATAAGACAAATTCAAGTGGGACAAAAATGTTAAAGATGAAAGGGTTTGAGGAATTTGTCCTGAAAGATGGTTGTGTGAGAAATCAAGAGTTTCAAGCCAATACATATTTCCAATCTTGGTGGGGATCTTACCAGTGAATTGATTCATCGACAAGTTTAGAGTACCCAATAGAATGAGGCTACTTATCTCTTGTGGAATTTCACCTTGTAAATTATTTGATGAAAGATCAATGCTCTTTACCAGCAGTAGAGTTGTGTTATATACAAGTTGTTGTCCTTTTAATGTCAACGTGGCTTGCTGAGTATAGAAACGACGGGGAGTAAATGAAACATTAAGCAGAAGAGAAGTCAAATTATTCAAACAATTAGGAATAGTTGCTGAAAAGTTGTTGTGGCTAAGGTCGAGGATGCAAAGGTAGCCAAGATTGCATAATTGTTGAGGAATATGTCCACTGAAAAAGTTGTTTCGCAATTGTAGCATGTACAACATGGATCCATTTGATCCTCCTATCCAAGGAGGTATGTTCCCAGATAACTTGTTGCCTCCAAAATCGATACTCTTCAAAATAAGGCAATTTTGCAATGAATTGGGAAACTTACCACCAAAATTGTTGTTGTTCAACATTAATATTTGAAGATTACTTAACTCCCCCAATGAACTGGGCATATTACCAGAGGGATTGTTGTAGGAAACATCTACAATGCTTATGATGCTCTTCGAACTGAATGCATTTAGGAATTCTCCAGAAAAATGATTGCTCCTTATGGAAAGGACTGCAAGGTCATGTTGGAAAAACAATTATCAATGACTGATTAAAATAATTATATAAACAAAATTTATAACAATATGTAACACAGAATACAGTATATAGACAATAAATAAAACTGACTTGAATTTGAGATAGAGGCTTGCAGATTTGATGCAGTGTCCTAAAGACAGTAATTTCACCCCTTCTCGGTGCTTAAAGTTCTACAGGTGACTGCCTTCCAAGATTCAACTATCTGTATTTTAAGCCTAGCACTCGGACTTAGAATCTGGCGAACGTTGTTTGTTTTCCTCTCAGACAATATGAAATGCTTGTAGAATGCTTTTTTCTGTGTTGAACGTATGAGGCCTTGTTTGATTTAAATAAACTTCTGAAACCTTATCAGAAGAGTCACAACTGTTAGAAAACAGTTAATAAAACTAATCCGAATTAATAAAAAATTATTAATTCGAAACAAAAAAATAATTTTAAATCTGAAAGTGCCCAAAGGCCCAAAGCCCATCTTTTTGACCATTAAATATTATATATTTTTATATAATATTCAAAGCCCAAATCGATTTTGAAGCCCAAATTGCTTCCACTTGGCCTATTTCCATTTACTAAGTGTGGCACTTCCACACTTATAAGGACCTCACTCTTTCTACTTTCTATCAATGTGAGACAAAGGTTCTTGAATTTAATTCAAACTTCCAACAGGTCATGCATGTCGCAAATACAAGGAGGAATAGTACCATTTAAATGATTCTCTAAAAGATATAGTTCTTGCAAGTGGGGCATCAGGTTGTCAAAATTCGAGGGGATTGGCCTCGAAAATAAATTGTTTTCGAGATCAAGGATGATGGCATTAGTGGACCAAAGTGGGAGTGGTCCCTCAAATGTTTTTTGTTTTTTTTTCTTTGGACGAATGGTCCCTCAAATTTATTATGATCCAAACTTATAAAATTTAAGTACGGAAATCTAAATTCAATTGATGGAAGCCTTCCTCGGAATTGGTTGTAAGATAAATTCAGGTATGTGAGTTGGGAAGATAGCTTCAACAACCATTCCTCTAGTATAGAATCTGATATTCCAGTGCTACTCAGGGTGACAATTTGTAGTTCAGTCTGAGATTGAAGCCATACCCCAAAACCAGGACCAACTTTGCAATGTCTAATGTCAATCGAATGGAGCTTAAAAGGAGGAACCCAATCATAAGTGATGTTGAGGGAAATGGGATCATAGCTGAATATGGAAATAGCTTTTAATCTTGTGAGATTTATGAAATGGGCTTCCGTTAGAATGCCTTCCCATGAATTCTCACTCAGATCTAGTACTTCTAGCTTCCAATAGATTCTGGAATAGACCCGTTCATATGATTATCGGAGAGGTCTAGGTATTTCAAGGACAATAAGCTTCCAATAGATTCTGGAATTGATCCCCACAACTTGTTGCTGCTAAGGTAAAGAAATTGCAAATTTGTTAACATTTCCTAACCCGGCCGCCAATTCGCTTTTCAATCCACAACTAGACATATCTAACTCCGATATTGTATTATTTGGACAATTTGACAAAGCCCTCCAAAACTCTTCCATCCCCTCACCATCAAAATCATTCCCCCTAAGACGTAACATCTTTAGCTTGCACAAGTTTCCACTGACTCTGGCAATTTGACCTTTGAAGCCTGAATTAGATAAATCTAGTTATTCTAGAAATTTGAGGCTTGCAAGTTCTCCTGGAAGAGGATTATTGAAGGAATTCCGTTGTAGATCAAGTTTTCTGAGGCTAGTAAGATTGAAAAGCCAGCTGGGAAATGAAGAAGTGGTGAAATCATTATGTGACATATCAAGGACCAAAAGTGAGATGAAGTTAATCCTCCCTAGTGAGAGTGGAAGACTTTCTATTCCGCAACAAGATAAGTGTAACTCCAGTAAGGAAGGAAGCAGGTTAACATCATGTAGCCAATTTGTAACTCTTATAGTGCTGCTAAGATTTACTCCATTGAGATTGAGGCAATAGATAATACGAAGAATAGAGGTCAAGATAGTTCAAGTTTGACAAGTTCCCCCAAACCATGCAAATGAGATATTGAGATACCTAAGACTTTTAAGTTCCCCAAAGAACTTAGGAATGGGGATCCCTTCAAAATTATTCAAACTTAAATCCAAGTAATATAAGTGTTTGAAGCTAAGCAAAGAAGGATTTATCTTACCCCCAAAAGAAGAGCCCCACTCCTCATCTGGCTTCCGGGGATATGGATATGGGCTGCGGAGATCCATTTTGGCGACATGACTGGTGCGGTTGTTGCATGAAATCCCTTCCCACTGGCAGCAGTCATGACCTACCCAAGAAGAAAGCCTGCCAGACGGATCCTTCAGATCTTGTTTAAATCTCACAAGTGCTTGCCTTTCTTCCTCAATGCATATTGACTTCACATTAGTGCTTGCAAGTCTGATATCACCAAATCAGCAAGGCTTTGATGGGTGATGCCGTGAGACTTTGAATTTGAAGGGTCTCTAGAGTCTATTAGCGAACACATTAATTTTTTTTATGGTTTAATACTTTGAATAAGTATTAAATGAAAGGATAAAGCCACAACCAGATGGGCAAAGAAATAATAAAATAATCAAAAGATGTCTCCCGCACTTGATGGCAATTTTGACAACATAGGCTTCATACGCCATTTCACGTAGACTATAGCAGTTCGGTTGGAGTAAATTTCAGCTGTTATTTTTATCCGTTAAAAGTTCCACAAAAAATTTGACATTTTTTTTGGAGATGCTTAGAGCATCTCGAGCCAATATATTAACTTGTTACATAGACATGAAATGAAAAAAATTAAAAGTTAAAGTTGCTACAACCGAATAGTCAAATTCTATATAAATTTAAAAACAGAAAGAAATATGTCAAAAATAATATATCAAAAAACTTAATGTCAAATTCATCATGCTGACCAATATGGTAAAGTGTTAAGCTCTATGGAACTAGTGACATATAAATAAATGAGTACTGCTAAATGAACCTTAAAATTAACTAAGTACACCATACTACCAAACTACTTATTGAATTACTAATTTATCATAATATAAAATATAAAATGACCAAAAAAGATATATTGAATTGTGAAACAAATATAATTTTAATAAGTACACCTTACTCACCATATTCAACCCTAATCAAACGTAGAGAAGTTTTCATACAGCGAACAACCCAGTGAACACAGACAAAGGCGCAAGTGCATATTTACAAGTAGGATGAGTGGAATAAAAGAGAATGAAAAATTCCAAAAGAATGACCACAATATTGAGCAAATCTCTAGTCTGAAACACGTTGTGGATGAAGCCAAGCAACATCAAAATGTGAAGTAACTGGTCCTAGTAAATTTGTAACTTTCTCGGACTAGCGCCGAGTGCCATGGAACTAGCAGCTGTTCTTTTATAATGGTTTTTACGTAGAATTTGTTTATCTACTTTAGACACAACAAGATACTACTGGGATTTAAAAATCCATAATTTTGTGTCCTTAAAAATGGTAGGTCATAGTAGAGATTCCTTGAAGAAATATTTATTACGATATTCAAAATTATAACATGAACTTGAGTGCTTATTGGGAAATTAATTACAGATATGTGTGATGTTGAATAGTTATACAAAGTATTAGGATTGTGTGATAGAGTGTATTAGGGTGTACTGGAGGTATATTCGGTAGTTAAATAGGATATACTTAATTAATTTTATATTTTGATTAAAATATTATGGTGTATTCAATTAATTTTAGGGTTTCCAATCTAATGAATACATATATGAACTTGGAATACCTTTTATTTTATTGCTAGTCAACTATTCTAATGTGGACAACAGTTTTTTATTTTTATTTTCTAACCAAGATTTCATTGGCAAACGAGCCAACTTCAATTTAATAATCGCCAATGCTAACTTATCTTTCATGCCACCAAAGAACTGAAAATAAGCATGCCTCCATGACTTGTAATACAAGTAATTGCGACAAACACTCCAAAAGCCTATGATAAAGTCTATCGCTAGTACCATGGTAATACAACAACAAATATATTATGATGAAATGAGTTTATTGAACTGGAATCAACATAGATTAGAGAAATGATATTACTCAAACACTTGAGAATAGTAACAGAGAAGCAGAGACAACCCATATATGTTTCAAGGTATCTTTCCCATAATTGTCGTCATCAAGATCAATCACTGACAATGAGTATAAATTTTGAAAGGAAAAAGGAATTTTGCCACCAAAATTGTTTTTTATCATCTTCCAATTTTTATTTTTGATACAAGCGATATTGGGTAATTTAATCTAGGACCTCGAGTGCAAATGTAAATGCTCTTAACCACTTAAGCTATAAACCCCTAGCAAACAATTACTAGATTTGTATCAAAATATTAAAGCATTTTTCAATAAATGCATCATTAATATACGCTTATACATTTTTGAAAAATACACGTACATTGATGCTCATTAGAATACGTTTATGCAACTCATTAGAATACGCTTATACATTGGGGGTGGGAGGTCGATCCATATTTACGAGCAACTCATTAGAATACGTTTATGCATCTAATTTTGAATGCATTTTTCGTAAGCTGAAGAAATTGGGTCCTTGTATGGCTTTTATTTCCTTGTCACCGTTTCTTCGACAGAAAGGGATAGAGGATAGATAATCAAGATTCCAGGTCCTTAAAACATTTCGGAAGGTTGCAACATGCAAGTCCAATCAGGTACATGGAGTTCAAATGCATTTTCTTGACTAAACTGTAGTCTAGTCCAGTTTTCATATATAACGTGACAGTTTAAGAACACAAAAGCTATCAATTTTGACCGTTGTGGCCAAAGCCTGCTCTCATTCATCCAGTGGCTCCTTCTTTGGACAACAACTTACATGCATCAAGCTATATACTCTTTTAAATGTGGAAATCTTTTATCCAATAAAATTTTTGACAATGGGTAATTTGAGAAATATATATGTTGTGGAGACTTTGAGGGTCTCCTCCAGCATTCAATAGCGAGCGAATATGTTATTTTTGTGGTCTTTTTATTTTTGTCTTGTTTTGTTTTTATTACTGGTTTGTAGCTACTAGTACATATATCTTAATGGTCAATATGTTCCATATATAAGTCTTGGTATGTGTACTTACATGTGTTTAGTCTAAGCTTGCACCACTAATAAGTATTGATACTCATTAGAATATACTTGTTGCAAATCACTGCACCTCGTTGGATGCATTGTTCATAGGTGAAGAACTTGAGTCCATCACAGTTTCCAGGTCCTCACCCTATTTTTCAAGTTTTCAAGTCAAATCAGGCAGATGGTGTTAAAATGCAATTGTTGACTAATTAGAGCACAGCTCTGAACTAGTCTATCTTCATGTTAACTGTAACTCTACGCCAATTATAATTCCATTTCTGAAAAAGTGGTCAGTTGGGTTCGGCCAAATGCTACATATACAAAGTCCACTACAAACAACCCACCAAATGCACCCCTAAAGTTTAATTCAACCCAAACCCTGGATGGCCACTGAGCTGATGACTGAACTCCATGCTAGTGGAGTTGAATAAAAGCCTTATAGAAAAAAGAAATAGTACTTGAAATGAACGGTGGGTTCCGTATTCTAAGTAATCAAAACAAGTGCATACAGGGGAAACTTCATATGGTACACGGATTTCATACTTGCTCAAGTGTTGTGAATTCAAGCACTTGGTTCCATATTTCTATTCCAATCAAAATTTCCTCTGAGTACGAGCCATTTTCAACGCAATTGCTAGCATCACCTTATCCTTGATGTCATCAAACCATCGAAAATAAGCATACCTCCATGACTTCTTCACAAGTAAGGTGCCAGAAACACTCCAAAATCCTAAGATAAAGCCGAGTGCCATGCTAATATAGAACCACAACTTATCATTTGTATCTTCATGATCATTGTCTTCTGTAGGAGTGTGATCATCTTCGGAACACTTAGTTGACAGAGGAACCCCACACAATGATGGGTTACCCATATAAATGGATGGATCCGTGAGGGTTTGGAGTTGGTTTCCCAACGGAATTCTACCAGTCAAGTTGTTATAGGACAAGTTCAGGTGAGACAAGAAGGTGGAAGATGAAAGACTTTGAGGAATCCAGCCTGAAAGGCGGTTGCGTGAGAGATCAAGAACTTCGAGCAACTGCAAGCTTCCAATGTTTGAGGGAATGTTTCCACTTAGTTGGTTCTTCGATAAGTTCAAGCTGTGCAACAGGAGGAGGCTGCATATTTCTTCAGGGATTTCACCTTCAAGGCTATTCGAGGAAAGATCAATGCTTTTAACCAACATCAAAGTCTGCGACTGATATTCGAGTTCTGTTACTTTCACCACTGATGTTTGCTGGTCATAATATGAATATAAGTCATAGGCACTAAAATTGCCATGCGTTAAAGCACTCAGATGATTCAAACACTTGGGGATGGTTCCTGAAAAGTTGTTGTGAGCAAGGTCTAGGATGTGAAGGTAGCCAAGATTGCACAGCTGTTGGGGGATATGTCCAGTAAAGAAATTCGATCGCAGTCGTAAGATCGACACCAGGGGCACATTTGATCCTATCCATGAAGGTATGGTGCCAGTGAATCTATTATTTGCGAGATCAATGTGCCTCAAAGAAGTGCAATTTTGCAAGGAAAGTGGAATCTCACCATCCAAATTATTGTTGTTGACCTTCAACATAAAAAGTGACCCCGGGACACCAATTGAATTTGGAAGCTTGCCTGAGAGATTGTTGTATGCAACATCTATGACCCATATTTCCTGCAACAGACTCCATGCTTGAGGAAATTTTCCTGACAGCTCATTGCTTCTCAGAGAAAGGACTAGCAAGTTTTTGAGGTTGCAAATAGAGAGTGGAATAGTACCATTCAAATGGTTCTCAGAAAGATACAGTGCCAACAATTGTGGAAATCGTTGGTCCAAATTCATTGGAATTGGCCCAAAAAATGAATTGGTTTGAAGCTGAAGACGGATCGCATTGTCACTGGACCAAAGTGGGAAGGGGCCATGAATTTGATTATGACTCAAATCCAAAATCAGAGCATTTGGAAATTTCAATTGCAATGGAAGGTTTCCAGTGATTTGGTTGTAAGACAAATCCAAATAATAGACTTTGGAAGATATTTTAGAGAACCAGTCCTCTGGTATGGCACCTGAGATTCCAGCACCATGAAGTTTGACAAAGGCTAGTTCAGTTTGAGACTGAAGCCATGCTCCAAAGGTAGGACCTATTTGACAGTTTCCAATGTTGATTGTGTGAAGCATGAAAGGAGGAACCCACTCATAAGACACATTGAAAATGAGAGAAATAGGTAGAGTAGGGTATGGGGTGACTTCGCCTAATGCAAAGTATTTCAATCTTGTGAGATTTGTGAAATGGGCTTCAGTTAAAAACCCTCCCCATGAATTTAAAGATAAATCTAGGTGAGTTAGCCGAGAGAGTTGCCCCAAGCTTTCAGGAATGGACCCGTTCATTTCATTATTGTAGAGACTAAAATACTGCAAATTGTGTAGCATCCCCAAGGAGGCAGGCAATTCTCTGTGCAACATATTAGAAGACAAATCTAATGACTCTAAATTTGTGTTAAGACAACTTGTTAAACCACCCAAAAGGTCTTGAATCTCCCCATCAAATTTATTGCTAGCAAGATTCAAGATCTTTAGGTTACAAAAATTTCCAGCCAGTTCGGGAATTTGACCTTCAAGTGCATTGAAAGATAAATCAAGATGTTCCAATGATTTGAGCCTTCCAAGTTCAAGGGGAAAGGCACCACTGAATGAATTCCCCCTTAGATTAAGTTTTCTGAGGTTAGCTAGATTCAAAAGCCATTCAGGAAATGGAAACTTCAACTCATTATATGACATGTCAAGGATCAAAAGTGATTTGAGGCTAATATTTCCTAGGGAGATTGGAAGGCTTTCAATCTGGCATGCTGGTAAGTGTAGCTCTATTAGGGAAGGAAGCATGTTAACAGCATGTAGCCAACCTTCCCCTGTTTTGTTGAGGCCCAGTCCTTCAAGATTGAGGTATTTTAGGGAAGAGAGATTGGAAAGCCAATTCAATTTGTTGGAAGGAAGTTCAAGTAAAGAGTAGTCAGACTCTTCACTGAGGTCA